CCCCTTCCCTATCTTTTAAAAAAAAATCTTTTGGAGATGTTATAAAAAGAGATATAGGGAGAAATCTAGGAAATTTAAGAATGAAATATATCAATAAAATATATTTTTAAAAAGAAATTTTACATTAAAAGCAATGCAAATGAAAAAATAAAGGCTTTCTGACCAAGCTGTCTCTTTTGTCTCTCTTAACTGAAATAATCAGAAAATGGACACGTGTAGTCCTTCTTTTTTTCCTGATCCACATATCTACTTGTGGAGTCTCCACATTATATCACCGAGGTAAAAAAGGGAGAAAGGAGGAACATATTCAAAGTTGATAGATACACTGACTTCCTGAATTTGTAGGCAAACTTGTAATGACGAATGGATGACTTAATGAAAAGAGGTCATGGATTACCCTCACCAATGTAAGAGATGAGAGACATTAATGAGAAAAATTCAGTCCAAACAACATTTATTCACCCCAAAGTTGTAGAATGCTTGATGAATTAATAAAATTAGAGAAGTAACATTAATATAATAGGTACATCAGAGCGCTTTCCTGACAATCACCCTGTGACGTAGGTAGTATTATTCACCCCATTGTGAGATAAGAAATAATAAGAAAAATACCATTATGTCTTAAATTTTGAGACATCCTGCTACAACAATAGGCATCCTTTTCTTGGCACTTTTGGACTCCCAAAGTATAAAAAACTCAGTTTTATTTAACCTATTTATTCTGGGACTCAAGAGATGTTTGCCAAATGGGAAGCTGGAGTAGCGTTTTACAACCCCATAAAACTATGCACATATGAAAAAAAATGTATGCTGAGTGTTAGACATGTAAAGTCTCTTCCTAACAAGGTTTTTGAGATTGGCTTCAGTTTGCATCTAACACCTAATAAAGAAAGGAGTTCATGCACAGCAACATAGCGACTTTAAAGAGTAGTCAGTGCAAATGGAAATGATCTAGAAGGTATGCGATGAAGGAACAATATCAGAACTTGAAGGTGAAAAGAAGACTGGTATCAATGCATGTTTGTTGAGTGTTGACAGAATCATGCTACATGCATAAAGCTTTGGAAAAAAGAAAACCTAGCAAAATTAAGTGGAGCAACCGTCTTACCGATCCTCTTCAGGGATTTGGATGGATCTTCTTATGATGGAATATGGATGGTGCTGAGTAGCTGATTGGCACTTACACCCTGTATGGTTAGCAACCTTAACTGGTACTAATTCGGGTACAGTTGTTAAAGGCACTGTTATTTCAAAAAGCTGTTGGAGAAGAAAGATAATTATAATGCATGCTTAATTACATATAAATTATTTTAACGACTGTCACATTCTATATTTCCCCTTGCATTCTTTTATTCTCAATGGTAGTAACTATAGGAAAATTGCCAACTGAATGAAAACTATAATTGAGGTCATGTGGACACAAGAATAGGTTATTGCAAAGAGCATGAAGCATAGGGTTCTTTTCCCAGCTCTATCATTGTGTGAGCTTTATCAAATTGCTTAAACACTTAATGCCCATTTTCCCTGATAAAATTGGAATGAGGGTACCTGATGCCACTTCACAGAGAGGGTCCCAAAAGATAAAAGGATATACTAGATGTCATTGTGCTCTAAGTCCATCAAGGAAGAAAGTTGAAGTATAGTTTTGCTGTCTTCTTAATGTGGTTTAGAGGGAAAGGCTCAAAATTTTGTCAAATGGGCAAAAGATGGGCAATGACTACTTTTAGAGCAGGTCTAGAAAATGCACTGAGAAGTTTGAACTTCTATCTTATGTGTTTTTAGTTTCCATTTTATATGTTTCTTGGGTTGAAGTGTTACTTCTGACATGATTTGCCTGTTGCAAGACCCTTACTCTCAGGGATCCTCAGTTTCCTCTTCTCTACAATAAGGTGGATAATAATTGTAGTACCTACCTCATGGGGTGACTGTGAGAGAAGCACTCTTCTTTACCTATTGTATTAATGTTATTTCTCTAATTTTATTAATTCATCAAATATTCTACAACTTTGAGGTGAAAGTTGTTGTTTGGACCAAATTAAAACTTTCAATTATGCATACTTGTAAAGCAAGTACATGACTTTGTATAATTGTATTACTTTTAAAATATTTTGAGTAAGACTTTTTAAAGTATCCATCTATTTACTAAGGAATGGGGCAGCTAAATGGTACAGTGGAAAGAGGGATGGGACTGGAGTCAGGAAGACTCATCTTCATGAATTGTAATATGGCCACAGACATTTATTAGCTGTGTGACCCTGGGCAAGTCAGTTAACCTTATTTGCCTTAGTTTCCTCCTCTGTAAAATAAGTTTGGGAAGGAAATGGCAAACCACTACATCTTTGCCAAGTAGACATGACTGAAAACAACTGAACAACAAAAACATTTACTAAGTAAAACCTGTCTTGGGCCAGTGACTAGGACCTATTTGGCTTTATTTATTTCATTCTGTTTTTAATCTTAGCTTGCTTGTGCAAATTTTCATGTATGCTACAAAAAAATCTATTTTAAGTCACATAAACTAATTACTGTCGTGTTATGTAAGCGTTTCTAACTGACAGTTGCTGCTTAGAATACTGAGGGCATTCTTCTAACTCTTGAACAGTAGAGGTCAGAATTTTCACAAATATCTCACATCGTACTACATCGGATTGTTCCACTGTCATTTAGTTACAGAAATTCCCCCATTCTGACTAATAAAAATTATGAGTAATTCGTCCTATTAGTATCATATAAAGCCAGAGTTCTACTATTCCATTTTGATACAAGTGCTCAGATGAACAAATATTCAGTTGATGTAGAATTTTGTCAGAATATCAGCTTTCACAGAGGAATTAAGAAAACATTAAGAAAAGGCTTCTATAAGAGTATGACAACAAACTAATAATAATAATAACAAAATATTCTAATTTGATTTACAAGCCTTTCAGCATCATGTCTCTTAACTAAATCTTCTTGCCATGCAACCTGCCATTTTTTTTCCTCACCACTCACATAAGCAATGTTTGTACCATTGGACAACCTGATAGGGTATCCTCTGAAAGAGCTTTTTTCTTGGGCTGATAAATATATTTTATTTATTGACCAGACAATGTCCTTTCACCATCACATTATTGAATCATTAACATCGTTCTCTGATTTGGGGCATTAGCGCTTGCATCTCTTTATAGGGATCATGAAAATTTGCATTACCTGTTTTGAAACATATGATGTGCTTGTGTTTATACAAAGGAGGCTTTCTTCATTGCAGCAGCCTCCACACCGGAATACATTCACACAGGGGGGCTTAAAGAAAGTGTTAGTGCTTTTCCCAAGCTCCTTGGCTACTTCCACACAGGTCTCTCTTGGAGTACATTGAGTTCTCTGCCATTCCTCATCTATAACTGAAGAAAGAAAATTAATTGAAAACAGTAAATTAAGTAATATTTTAGTACTACAATGTGTGAGCAGTAGCCATATTAATGATAGAATTTTCATGTTTCCAGTGTTCATTTCTTTCATTTGCTGGTTATTTTAATCAGTTTATATGAGCAAAACTAGTCTTTTAAGGGGGAGAAGGAGGAACTTTCTTCCTAGTTCTATCCATGGTGAGGGAGTGGGGGCTGGTAAAGGTACTGGCAATAATTTATTTTCCTTTGGTGAGAATCATCCAATCCATTTTATAACCGCACAGTATCCATCTGGAAAAGCTGATTAATGAGAAGATAAATAAAAGCACATTGAATTGAATGACATTTATTAAGAACTTTATAGGATCCCAGCCAGAGACAGTTGCTTCAATTTGAAGCCAGTCATGGCATGTATTCATAGGCCTATGTAGAAATACATTTCTAATGATAACATATCACAAAAGGATCGTATTTTGGACAATGACAATGAATGAAAAATTCAGCAGACTAATTTCTTCATAAATCTGTGTAAGATGCCTCATAATGAAATGTCCTAGAATCATGGTTCTAAATGATGATGAAATTAAGACCTACAGATAAAATGATGCTCTAACTATGCTAACTAGAATCAAGCCGAAGGGGAAGGAGAAGAAAAAAAAACTGCTGGCAATAAAAAGGAAATTACTTTCCTGTAAAATAAAATCCACTTTGCTAGCCTTTGTTAGATTTTGACACTTAGGATATTCAAATATTGAGTAAACTTTGTTTTTGGATCTGTATATCTTCTTGGAAAATATTTGATTTTTACAGTCAGTTTAGTTTCAGGATTTTTTTTAACCTATTCTATTTTTATTTTTATATCTTTGTCAATTGACATTACTCTATTATCAGAATATTGTGGATAGAGTACTGGGTCTTGAGTCAGAAAGACTTGGGTACAAATACAGTCCCAGACACTTACTAGCTTTGTGGGCAAGTCACTTTTGTTTGCTTCAGTTTCCTCAGCTGTAAAATGGCGGTAATAATAACATCCACCTTGCAGAAGATCAAATGAAATAATATATCCAAAATGCTACATGTTAGGTGTCATTATCATCATTATTATTATTATCCCATATGAAAATAATACACGTTCAACAAACTTTACTGACTGCCTATATTCTTGGGTGCTAAGACAAATGGTCTGTTCCCTTGGGATTTTATAATCAGAGCATAATTCCAAAAAACCTAAGATTTCTGGTTAAAATACATAGCTTTGGTAGACTTCTCTAAAATAGGACTGACACTAGAATAACTATTTCTAAACCTTTTTTTTCTCAGCTTTCATTTTCACTGTGACCTAATTTCTCCCATTGGAGGTTTCCGCAATAAAACTTAAACTACCCGATATTTGGCAAACTATTAAATATCAGATATGCTATAGAGTTTACTTTGACTTTGTTGCATTATTTTTTCAGTTATTTTGGCAGGGAAGCATTTAAATATTTAAGAATTCTACTTACTCAGTTCTTTAAAAGTATATATATATATATATTTGCTCCAAGAAGTCAATAATGAGATAATAATTTAATTCTACTTTATTAATCATAAGGTTTTTAATGTAAAGTGAATACTTAAATTAGGGTAGCATTTTTGTGAAAAAAAATTACCTTTATAATAATTTATTATATTCATATTCTCTTTATTTTTCTATTCTTTTATAGCTTTATTGGGCTGTTTATGCTTATCATTGTATGATATCTATATTAATTAAATTTTAATGGAAAGCATAATTATGATAAAAGTCTAAAGCTGAATAAGCAAAGGTTAGGTTGCACCTAGAACAGAGCTTATCAACCTTTTTTTATATCTTAGACAGTTTACTTTAAAGTTTGGCAGTTTACTATAAAGTCTATGGACCTTTACATATTGGTGCCTATATTAATAATTGAAGGAAATGATAAATTTTAGAGATTAGTGAAACTAAAGATGTACGGTTATCCCTTCCACATCTTGGGAGTTAGGGACATGGCATCCCCATGATCTGGAAAATCTGCTTAAAATTTTTTGGCCCTCCCTTTGCACCACAGAAGAAGTCTGAGTTGTTGTAGTATTATGGTGATATTATACAATACTCTACATATATGTTATGCATTTCTGAGTTTCCAAACTTTTTCTGTGTTGTCTGCTGGCCTTAGCATGTTGTCTGGGGCTTCCAAAAAACTCTCCCAAAATTCCAATTTAATTTCTCATGCTGATTAAATTCTCATGCCGATCACATGCCTGTGATATGTCAAAACTCATGATGGGGAAAGTCACCACGTGGAAGGGATGACTGTATTTTTTTCCTATCCAAGTACATAGACCCTCCCCCCCCGAAATCTATCCATGGGCTTCTCGGGGCTGTATGGACCCCAAGTTAAGAAATCCTTGGTGTAGAATAACCTCTTGTATTCATTCACCTCCCATTCTCCTACTAGGAAGAAAAAAATAACTAAAGCATAGTCAGTTTAAGAGCCTAACCATCTGTTTAAATCCTAAGATAGTAGATATGACTGTAACAATCAATTATTTATATGAGAGAAACTTCTGTTTAGTACCATATAAACATGACTCCATAGAATGGAGAAAGTGCCAGAGCATCTAACTTTCCCTGGTAGATAGTTCTACTATCTTGCCAGGTTACCTACAATGGTTCTAATCCAAAAGATTCCTATCTCTTCTCATGGAAACACAAAACTATCATTTCAATGGAGGCAGTAGTATTAGGAAGAGAGATTCTTCCTACTATACCACACTAAGGAACTTCAGGTTTCAACTCTGCCATTCACTGGCTATAAGAAAGTGGACAAATCTCTTACCCTTTCTGAGTTAGAGTTTCTATAAGGATGAGAATAATAAATTCTCCCCAACTTGGTGTGAATAATTTCAAATGAGATAACATACAGGGTGTTCCAAAAGTCATAGTGCAATTTTAAACTATTAATAGCTAAGACTTTCAGAATACTCAGTGTATATGTGTGTGTATGTACATATGCATATATGTATATATTATATATGAACAAATCATTTTGAAAAGTGCTATATACAGCACATATATAGCATAAAGTATATATGTATACTTATATACATACATGTATGTGTTATAAAATTCAGCTTGATATTATTCAAATGATCTTATTTATTAGGCTGGAGTTTTTGTTCTTTTGCTGTCGTGAGTTCATTTTTGCCATAATTTATCATGAAATAGCAATATCCATTATAATGTTTCTTTCTGTATCTCCTTGTTTTTTCTCAGTGGAGGTCACAGAAGGAAAATCAAAAGACTATACATATTAGCCCCCTTTCAGTTCTACTTTTCTATTGGTTATTCTTTTTGGCTTTACATTTCCTAGATATCATAGGGTTAAGTATTTTTCCACATTTGGCCATCTTATTCTTTTGCTGTTGAATCATTAAAAATCACTTTTCACATATTCCCATTTGGAATAAACTGGGAATCATGATTCAATACCAATCAATACTCAAGCAGAGAATGACAAAAGACCCTTATTTTTAAAAATCATTCTCTTACATGTCTGCCTGTTTTACTTAAACATAATGAAACAGATGGGCTAGATGATCGATGCCAAAAATTTGACAAGAGAGTTAGAAGCACAACCCCACGTCTACCTTTAAGTGTTTCGATGTCATAAAATGTTGCCGCGAATCTGGTGGAGCGATGGGATGCTGAGCGGGAATCCATACTCGCTAAGCTCTTGATCTTCAGTCGACATTTCCACAGCTTCCAGTCTTCAGAGTGAGTGATCCTGAGGAGTTCCTCCAAGCTAGATGCGGCCAGGATCTGCTGTTCTGAGCGCTCTAACAATGACTGAGGAGCCCGCTACAAGACAAGTGGATTTTTTCCAAAGTGTTACTCAATTTTCAGTTTTCCTTGATAACTTCAAATAACTGTTATCACTTTAGAAATCAAATAAATCATAAAAGGTATCCAGGAAAGAACAAATGAGTGCCAGAAATCTGTGAAGTTTTATTTCTGGTAATTCTAACTTTAGGTAGTAATTATTATTAATTATAATTATTAATTTATTAATTATTAATTATTAACACAATCTTCTTTCAACCTTTCTTCTGAGCCACTCAAAGCATTTAAAAATGTCCCTATGTGCAGACTCCATTAGGGTGTTTTGCTGATGCAACTTTCATTATATGTCATTACTAATCTAGAAATCTACTTTCAAACTTTTCCACAATGGGAAGTTGCATCAGCTGATAGGGTCTGCACATAGGTCAGATTGACATTTTTGTTGTTGTTAGGTTGTTTCAGTCATATCCAACTCTTTGTGAGTCTATTTGGGGTTTTCTTGGCAAAAATACTGGAGTGGTTTGCCATTTCCTTCTCCAGCTAGTTCACAGATGAGGAAATTGAGGCAAATGGGGTAAAGTGACTTGCCTAGGATCACACAGCTAGTAAATTTCTGAGGCCAGATTTGAACTCAGGAAGATGAATCTTCGTGATTCCAGGCACAACACTCTATCTATTGAACCTCCTAGCTGCCCTTGGCCCTGTTTACCTTTTTGAAAATATTATCTTGTCCTGTTAAAATTAATTTTCAGGGATTTTATTGATATATGCCACATTGACTAGGACTCAGTAGATAGAGCATTGACCCTAGAGTCAGGAAGAACTGAGTTCAAATCCAGCAGCAGACATTTCCCAGCTGTCAACTTTTTATTTACCTGGGCGAGTACTTAACCTCTGTTTGCCTCAGTTTCCTCATCTGTAAAACGATGATAATGATAGCACCTACTCTCCAGGGTTGTTGTGAGGATCAAATGACATAATATTTGTAAAGTTCTTAGCATAGTGCCTGACACATAGTAGGTACTTAATAAATACTTGTTTCCTTCCTTACTGCTTGAAATGTGTTATGAAGTTATGTGGGGAAATCGACTCATGAAAGCTTTTTTTAAGGTAGTTTAGAATAGTGGGAAAAACCCTGGACTGGGGATCAGGAAAGACCTGTATGTAAAAAATTCCCACTTTGAAACTTACTGGGTTCAAAGTCACTATGTGACTGTGAGACTGCTCTCAGCCTCAGTTTCTTAATCTGTAAAATGGGAATAAAAATAACATAGAATATACCTCACAAAATTATTATGAGGATCAGCTGAGTGTAAGTAAAGTGTTTCACAAATCTTAGAGGGCTCTAGAAATGTTAGTTATTATTAATATGTCACATCATTGTTGTGCAATACAAATTCACTAGTTCAACAGAATCATCCCCACATAAATGGATGGTTATGTGACTGTCCTAGAAATAAGTTTGTCCATTTAAATTTATGGGTTTTTTCCCCTACTCTGGAAAAAAAACTGAATTAGAAGTCTTGAACTATGTGGAAGTCACTGGAGATGCACAGATGAAACCCAATGCATTCTCTGCTCATAACCTTCAGTCTAATAGAAGAGTATATGTGCATGAATAATTATAACACAAGTTCCAGTGAAATGCGTGCGGGATGGAGATGTGCAAGAGGTTAGAATGGAAAAGGGCCTGATTCTGCAAAGGAATTTCTACCTCCTTTACCGCTACCTCTCCTCAAACAGCCCAAGTCTCAGTCCCTACAAACGTCCATCAGGGGATTAACCCCTGAGGAGAGAGAAGCAGACTGCCTTCCCCAACATCAATTCCAGCTACTGACTAACACCAAGAGGCAGGTAAGACCAAGAACTTCCCTCTGCCCCCAACTCCACCTCATCCTATTTCCAGCCTTTCACCTGTGGCCATTGTTCAGGCCACCCTCAGGAAGAAGCAGTTCTGTAAATGCTTCTGCTGGTGCTGCTGCTCCGACATCCTCAGCAGGCCTAGCTCCTGAGCTACGAACCGGAAAATGAAATTTTCATTGCCAAAGCCTTTGCCATCATCAAGTACTTCAACATCAGACTCTGACACAGTTTTTAATAAAAATTTTACTAAAGAGGATGCATTACTAGCCTTCCCTCGGCACCTAGGAAACACTGAGCCTTGCCATCTGAATTGTCCTGAAGCCTCTTGTATGTGTTGCCTCTCTCAAAATTGAAGCAGGTAAGAACAGGGTTTCTCTTGCTTGTATGCCCAGTGCATTGCACAGTGTAATTGCTCATAATAAATATTTAATACTCCTCCCTTCATTCATTTCTGCTGGTGGATCAAGGGAGGTTTCAAGGATTCTGAGCCAGAAAATGATTTTGGCAGCTATACGAATGATGGATAAGAGACCGGAGATAGGAGAGATTGATAGGAGATGGGACAGATTGGGAGCATCAAGACCAGTTGAGATTATTGCAATAGACTAAGGCAGGGGTGAGGAACCTGTGGCCTCAGGGCCACATGTGGCCTTCTGGGTCCTCAAGTCCTCCCCTTTAACTGAATCCAAACTTCACAGAACAAATCCCCCAAAAAAGAATTTGTTCTGTAAAACTTGGACTCAGTCAAAAAGCCACACCCAAGGACCTAAAAGGCCACATGTGGCCTTGAGGCTGCAGGTTCCCCACCCCTGTTTTAGGGTATAAAAACCTCAAAATCAAATGTAGAAAGGCAGAAATATTAAATGTATTCTTTTCAGATCATAATGCAATAAAAATTACATTCAACAAAGGGCAGTGGAAAGATGAAAAATTAATTGAAATTAAATAATCTAATCCTAAAGAATAAGGGGTTCAAAGAACAAGTCATAGAAATGATCAATAATTTCATTAGAAAGTGACAACAATGAGATAACATCCCCAAATTTATGGGATGCAGCCAAAGCAGTACTTACAAGAGAATTCATTTCTCTAAATTCTTACATCAACAAAACAGAGAAAGAGCAGATCAACGAATCGGACATACAACAACAACAACAAAAACAAGAAAAAAGAACAAATTAAAAGCCCTCATTTGAGCACCAAATTGGAAATTCTGAAAATCAAAGATGAGATTAATAAAATTAAAAGTAAAAAAAAACTATTGAACAAATAAACAAAACTAAGAATAGGTTTTATGAAAAAACCAATAAGATACATAAGCCATTATTTAATTTGATTAAAAAAACAATAAAACCATATATTCAGTATCAAAAATGAAAAGGGTGAAATTACCACCAATGAAGAAGAAATTAAAGCAATCATTAGGAAATATTTTGCCCAATTATATGCCAATAAATCTGACAATCTGAGTAAAATCAATGTATATTTATGAAAATGTAAATTACCTAGATTAACAGATCAGGAAATAGAATGCCTAAATAACCCCATGAACTCCTTAATAAAAAATCCCCAGGGCCAGATGGGTTCACAAGTGAATCCTACCAAACATTAAAGAACAATTAATTCCAGTACTATGTAAACTATTTGGGAAAATAGGCAAAGAAAAAGTCCTACCAAATTCCTTTTATGACACAAATATGATGCTGATACCTAAATCAGGAAGAGGTAAAACAGAGAAAGAGAATTATAGACCAATTTCCCCAAAGAATATTGATGCAAAAATTTTAAACAAAATACTAGCAAGGCAATTATAGTAATATATCACAAAGATTATACACTATGATCAAATGGAATTTACATCAGGAATGCAAGGTTGGTTCAATAGTAGGAAAACTATAAGCATAATTGACCAATATCAATAACAAAACCAACAGAAATTATATGGTTATCTCAATAGAAGCTGAAAAAGCTTCTGACAAAATAAAGCACACATTCCTACAATAACACCAGGGGGGGAAAACATCAGAGAGCACAGGAATAAAGGGAATGTTCCTTAAAATGCTAAGCAGTATCTACCTAAAACCATCAGTAAGCATTATCTATATATAAGGGGGATAAGCTAGAAGCCTTCCCAATAAGAACCTGGTGAAGCAAGGATGCCCATTATCACCACTATTATTAAATATAGTACTAGAAATGATAGCTATAGCAATAAGAGAAGAAAAAAATAGAAGGAATTAGAATAGGCAATGAGGAAACAAAACTATCACTCATAATTAAGAAACCCTAGAGAATCAACTAAAAAACTACTTGAAATAATTAACAACTTTAGCAAAGTTGCAG